TTACAAAGAAACTGAAGAATTTCTTGTATTCCTATGCTGTACATGGGCCATAGATTAAATTTTGACTCAGAACCTGTACTTTGAGTGCATACGCAGGTTTGTGGTAAATGTGTATTCAAGCTTCTAGCCAGCTCATATTTTGCCAGCTAAGGAGGTCTCTTGTTCCTTAAAAATGCTGTCTAGATCTGGACAAAGCAGAGAAACAAAATAATCACATAGCTTGCCTAAGGCTTTTCTTTGTAAGGAAAGCTTGTAACAGAAATAGTCTTGCAGAGCTTTGTGCCTTTGCCCTCTGCACTTTCCCTCACAGTCAGCAAAATATAAGGCACAGTATTCACATATTTTGGAGCTGCAGAGTAGAGGTCCTTGGTGCTGCTGGGCATAGGGCAATTCTTTATTATGAGCAGACTCTGTCCATTCTGCCCCATGTTAACATCAGCATTCAGAGCAATGTAACCTCCCTGTATCTTACAGAATACTTGTAGCTAATACTTCAACCAGTTAGTCTTAAACACAGAGAGTGTTGGCAAGTTTCAGACTGTTTTTTATCAAGAAACGAACAGTTCGTAGAATCATGGAATCACAGAACCATAGCATGGTTAAGGCTGGAGGGGACCTTAAAGATCATCAGATTCCAACCTCCCTGGTATAAACAGGGACACCTCACACTAGACCAGGCTGTGCCAATCCCAATCCAACCTGGCCTTGAATGCCTCCAAGGAGGGGCTTTCCACAACCTCCCTGGGAAATCTCTTCCAGTGCCTTACTGCCCTTATGGTGAATAATTTCTTCCTGATGTCTAAAATAAATCTCACTTCTTTCAGTTTAAAACAATTATCCCTTGTCCTATCACTGCCATCTCTGGTGAAAAGACCCTCCCCATCTTTCCTGCAGCCCTCCTTCAGCTACTGGAAGGCTGCTATAAAGGGATGTTAATGTGGCATTGAAAGTACAAAAGTAATATGTGGAATCATGGCAAACAGTGAAGAATGACTTTTCTGGTTAATGCGATTCATGTACATTTTATCACATCACAAGTTTCTTAAGCATCCTCCTTCACAGAGGGATTCTTCAGTATGCCTGGATGACTATGGGTCAAACACTGTGGGCTTGAGTGTGATTATTGATCAGCAAATGGAGAGACTGTTCTTACTATATTAGTTTATATCCAGTATGTTGTGTGATAGGAGGTTGTACAAATTAACTAAGACAAAAATATCCTGTTTTGCTATAAGGGGTTCTTAACAATTTAGAACTTTTACAAAGTCTTCTTAATACCATTAAATTAATACTATTAAATTAAATCTTGTTTATGGATTCATAACATAGCATAGTCACTTCTTCTGTATTAACAGTTCTTCGTGATTTATTGATACTGAGTCACTATTCCTGTGTGTACATGTGTTTCTGCATGATTTAGTGAGATATATCTCAGAAGAAAAAGAAAAAAAGTCCAGTTAAATGTGATTCTTTTTTGTTCTTCACAACAAATTCTGGTTTTCTGTTCTTGTTCAATTATTATAGATGTTATCAGTATATATTTTTAATGGTCATGATAAATACTGAGTAGCCCTACACTCTCTTCTCATTCCACAGAAAATCAGATTAAATGGTTAGCTACAATTTTTCAGTGACAGTAACACTCTCTCCTGTGTAGCTGGACAGATATTACAGAATGGACTAAATAGCCTATCTCCTTCAATCACCTTTATGATATCTGAAATCCTAGTAGCTAGTGAGGATTAAGCCCTGTCTTGCTCTCCCTACAAATCAGTAGCAAACCCTGGCTTGTTCTCAAGTTTTCAGAAGGAAGCCATGGAGGTATAACCCTCACATAGGCAATAAAGCAAAAATATCTTCTTGTGCCATTCACTTCCCCAGGAACCAGGTGAAAACTTTGAAACTTCTGATTCAGAGTAATAGCCGATAATGGAAACTGCAGGTCAAAAGGGTGTCTAAAGGCAACTGCATTCATTGTATTGCAGTTGAGTGAAAAAGCCTGGCCTGAAATCCACTGAAATCTAAGGGGAAGAAAATTGTGATCAATGGGTTCTGTCAATATTTTCTTCAAACTACAAATTCCATCTACAGTCTATAGCAGTGTCTTCATTTAATAAATGTTGGATATTGCCTCAGATTCAAATGCAGTGCACAAATACAAAATACAACCTTTGTGATAACCTTTCTTGTACCTGCAGTCGTATCATATTCACAAAGTAGGAATCAAATATTGCACCAAGTACAGGTTGTTCACAGATTCACTGTGGACCACCAATTGTCTTGAAAAACATTCAATGTATTTTTTTTCTAAGATTGGTTTATTCCAATTGGACAAAAACTCCAGTAACTCTTTATGAAAAAAATTAGTATTCTGAGATCTTTTGTAATGACCTTCCTACTGCAGACACAGACAACTCATAAGCTCACTTTTTACCAGAACTTGGAAATACAGTATAGGGAGAAAAAAAGGCATTATTATAGTTTTATGTTAATTATTCAGGTGATTTTAAGGATAGTTGTATAACTAGATAGTTGTAGAACTAGATTCTTTTTGACATTGCATGGCTAGGACAGTTGCTTTCCAAGTATGTAATAGAAAAAGAATGTATTTTAGCCAGGGTGAGGTACAGTGAAAGCATTCCAGTGAAAAAGAGAGTTTAACAGGAGGAAAGCCATTCCAAAAATACAAAACTAAGCTTAGTCCTTGTTCTCTGCTGGCTGCTCTTTGTCAAAATTATGTTCTGCCTTCCAGAGAGAAAATCTCACAAGCGTATCTTCAACTTTTACAAAGAAACTGAAGAATTTCTTGTATTCCTATGCTGTACATGGGCCATAGATTAAATTTTGACTCAGAACCTGTACTTTGAGTGCATACGCAGGTTTGTGGTAAATGTGTATTCAAGCTTCTAGCCAGCTCATATTTTGCCAGCTAAGGAGGTCTCTTGTTCCTTAAAAATGCTGTCTAGATCTGGACAAAGCAGAGAAACAAAATAATCACATAGCTTGCCTAAGGCTTTTCTTTGTAAGGAAAGCTTGTAACAGAAATAGTCTTGCAGAGCTTTGTGCCTTTGCCCTCTGCACTTTCCCTCACAGTCAGCAAAATATAAGGCACAGTATTCACATATTTTGGAGCTGCAGAGTAGAGGTCCTTGGTGCTGCTGGGCATAGGGCAATTCTTTATTATGAGCAGACTCTGTCCATTCTGCCCCATGTTAACATCAGCATTCAGAGCAATGTAACCTCCCTGTATCTTACAGCAGAAAAATCTATCATCTGTGGCTTGGAGTGGCATGTGGTTTGATCCATGGCTTGATGCTTGGTAGCCTATAGAAGCAGGGGGCAGGATTAATCTGTACTTGAACCAAGCACCACTGCAGATTACTTCCTCAGGGCATATTGGCCAGGTCATCATGTGTGCTAATACATGTGCACTTCTGTGAATGTGCATATAGAGGACAAACGTTTTCACTTCTGTGTTCATCAGAAGCATTAATACAATTAATAAATCTTTCATGAAAGCAAGCAAAGCATAGCCATCCTTTACCAAGAGTGGCATTTAACAAATCATACTAGCTGTTGGAAGTTAGCTGCTTGACCCATGCTTGTTGTGGTGAGCGGGAGTCAGACACACGATGCTCATAGAGTTATGGTGAATGCTCCATTTTATTGTTAGGTACATCAGTATATGATATATACATCAGTATATATAGGTTTATTACAAAGATCATTACGTCTTCAATATGCTAACTGATTGGTTAGTAATTACCTATTGCTCACGCATTATGACGAGCTATAACTTTGATACTTTAGGCGCTGTAGTAAGTTACTATTTGGATACTTCTTCTGCTAAACCTGCATCTTGTTGAATATGGTCTTCTTTGTGGTCTTTGTGGCATCAGCATCTCTAACTGGTCCTGCTTCAGTTCCTTCTTTGTATTCTGCTGTTACAAAGTTCCTTTAACCTGTTACTAAAGTGTCCTTTTCTCCTGTTTCTTGCTCGTACAGCTCTTCTGTTCCCTGCACGAACAGCTCTAGTATTTTTCCATGTCCATTGCTGTACAGAAATTCATCCACACATGCTTTTGTCAGCAGACACAGCAAGCCCAAAATTTAAACACTTTCCATGCAGCTGTGCAGTGATGCTGGGTGCCACCAGTCCTCTGCACGGCAAGCACTCCTCAGGATGAGCACAGAGTCTCTTTATGCCATGACTGAACTCAGCTACCTGTTCCAAGCTTACAGAAATTACGCTACATAACTGTGTAATAATAATATGTGCTACATAACCCTTCTACTGTTATGAAAGTAGCATCTCCCTATACCTTCTCCCTGGGGATTCAGGGAAGCCCTGTCCTTACACTTCCTTTCTGCAGCCAGAGTTTGAACATGTCCACTGGACTTCAATTCTAGTCTGGAAAGAAAAGCCATTTCTTGATTTTTTGTGAATTAATATTGAACCTAAGAGATTAATTTTCCAGCTAGAATTATTTGAATAGAGGGGCGGGTTTATGTCCACTGGCGATTAGCCTAAGCAAAAAGTTTTATAAGATTTTTGAAGTTAAAGGAAGAGGCTTGTTCTTTGTTTAGGTACTGAAAGGGAGAGTTATGAGCACAGATTAATGAAAACTATAGTTTTAAATTATAAACTACAGAATATTTTGAGTGGTCGGAGACTTACTGTAAAAAAACTACTACCTTTGTTAAGAAAATTACAGTCTATGCACAAATACTTTACACAGATTCCTCAATTATTCAGTAGGTGGCGGTTAAAAGCCGAGATGAGCTCCGCAGCCGCCATTTAGGCAGTAGCAGCAGCAGGGGCTGGAATCAGCCCATTCGTAAAGCAGAAAGAGACTTCAATCAAACAACAAAACCGTTAGCTAAGGCCCCGGCTCTGGGCAGAAGGAGGAGGCAGAGGGCAGCAGTCCCACAGCAGGCGCTGCAGGGCCCCAGGGAAGGCAGAGGGGGAAGAAGCCGCAGCCCTCTCGGTCAAGACAGCGACTCCTTTCTGATGGAGGAAACCCAGGGCAGAGGGGGTGAACAGCTGGTGTGATGACAGGCAGAAACTGAAGAACATTTTGAGCTTTCTCTTCCTACGCAGGTAAGTAGTTTTAATTTGTTCCTCTACATGACCTCGTACAATAAATCATAGTTTTGCATTGAGATAAGAGGTCTTTCTTTCATTCTGCTAAAATCCACAGTCCTTATTCAGGCAGAATTTCCACTTAAGTCAATAGAGTTTTGCATGAGTTGTGACTGCAAGATTTGAGCCAAGTGTCTATCTCAGAGAAAATGTCATGCTGTAAGCTGTGGCTGAGCAGGAAGTCAGAAGCTGGTCACATGCACACTGACCATTTAAAGGACTTACTTTTTCTGTGTACTGGGGTGCTGATACAGGCTTTGTAACTGTTTTTGTGAACTGCCTTTTGTTAAAACTCGAGGTGCTGAATTTTGCTCTAGATTATACCTCTACTGCTGCAGTGGTTTAAGGAGAGAATATGTTATTTTTAAACGAAGGCTAATTTAAGTTATTTGACAGAATACAAAAATGTGGAGTCTGAATAAAATAACACTACGTGTTGCTTTATTTCAAACAAATACAACTTTGCAGCATTCTGCTGACAGAGAGGCAATATTTTATTTGTTCAGTAGATTGTGCCTCTCAGTTAAATGAAATCAAATAAATCATAAAAGGCCATTCTCAAGTGTTTGTGAGTGACTGAATTCAGATGTGATACTTCCTCTCTTGCTGTCTTCCCTATGAAATGTGGGGTACTCTGCCTGCTGCAGGTCTCAGCTGCAGCTGGGTGAGCCCAGTATGGAGCAACAAGATTTGTAGCTGTATGTAATTTTTAGTGTTTTCTGGATGTCTCGTTTTCATGAGCACTTAGTCATACATGGTTACATATATGCCTGTTTATAAATGCGCACGCATATAGGTATGTAATGTGTGCATCCCATACCTTTCAATGTAAACCATAACTGATTGCTGCAATACCTATCCATATAAACAAAACTGCTGCTGCAACTGATTGCTGTTATACATTTGCCAGGATTTACAGCTTACTGTATCTAGAAAGTTTGCAGGTTTTGCAATTTTTACTTCTGGGTTAGAGGGCTATTTTGGCTTTCCCTCTCCCTGCAGTGTCCTTTTGGGACTTCACGCATGTTCACGAGCTGCCCCTCAGGGTTCAGCTATGCTTCCTAAATGCTGTAGTGTCCAGTCCTCACAGAATGCCCATCGTTCAGGGGTTATGAAGTGTGGTATCCCTCCAGGTTTCATGCTCTTTGTCATGCTGTGCACCACATTTCTGAGGCGCTTCATGAAGAGCTGTCCAAACGTGGAACAGATTCAATTACACAGCTGCAAATCAACAGCCCCATGCAACTGGGGAACTACATGCAATGTACAGCTGTTTATTTGCATCGGGGAGAAAAGATGAATGAGTGTTAAAGGGCTCTTAGGCTGGAATTTTTCTCACCATTAGAGCATCAAGGTTCTGAAATTACCTTCTCATTGAAGTAATAGAAAAAAAAGGTTTTAGATGCTTTTCAGCTAAAACCTGATGGAAGAGATTATGTGAAATGGTTGTCTGCAATGACAAATAATTTGATTTGATAAACCAGGAGGTCTCTTTCACTACTAAATACTATTCTTACTATTCACTGGAAGTTGTCCACATTAACAAGTCTGTTTGCAAATAGTTACAGGTCTTTGGAAAAAGTTTTCAGTACATCTCACATCAGAGCTAAATGAAAGCATATTTCCTTCCTAGATTGTGCTGCACTGCTGTTTACACCAAAAAACAAATAAGCCCTGAAGGTGATCAGGCTAGGTAATATCCCCTTCTCACCATGTAGAGCAGAACTCTTTGGAAGACCATATGAGTTCAGAAGCATGGCTTCTTTTGGCCAAGTGGACTAGATTATATTACTCTGACACTGTAGTCTCTGCAGTACCAAAAGAACTAGTGGATACTATATAAACTGATAATGCTGTTACTGAAGTGCTGGTTCTAGTTTCCCTTAAGGATCATCTGGTAACTTTCTTTTGTGCTAACCAGCATGCTTGCCCTTGCAAAGATCCCGCCATCCTGTGTGAAAAGCAAACTCATGTTTCATTGTGACAAGAGTGTGCAATATTCTCTCAAACTTATCTTAACACCCTGCTATAAATAGTATTCTGGTTCAAAGCAGCTGATACAGAATCACCACACTAAATTCCATATTCTCTTTTCCTCTACTTCTTTCTCTTTATAACCTGATCAGTTTCTTGCCTTTTTTATGCTTTTATTTTACATGCTACACTGAATTGCATTCAATCACAGTGTGCGTCAGTAACTATTCCGTAATATATAATAAGCTGTGTGTGAGCATCAGACCATTCTTACACTTTAACTAAAACAGTATTTGCTGTGGGAGATTTTGTTTAGTATATAGGTCTACCTCCAAGTGTTTGTTAATTTCCCTGTAATCCTTTGTGTTACGAGACCTAAATGAGCAATTATCTTTATTACATGCAGGAAGAAAAATGGGAATTTTGTGAAACATTAATATATAAATAATGGAAAGGCAATGGAAAAGGTCCACTGTACTGAAACAGAGCATATTTTATTTTACTTTTTTTCAGAAATGAATATTTGTTTTCAACCACAAAATATTGATTTCTATATAATTCTTAAAATTAGTAAAAGAGAAGGCAAGAGAAAATGTCAAAAAGGTTGTGTCAGGTCTGTGAGAAATGCCCTTTTGAATTTACACTGAGGTCAAGAGCAACAAATACATTTGAATTGAATTCTGTACCAGAGATGAAAATCAGCGTCTGATTTCTCTCACTGTGCAGGGCTGCAGTACGTCATGGCAGCAAAATGCAGTCACCCCCACCCTGACTGCAGATAATAGAATTGGTTTTAGTTGAGTCTGACTAAGTGTCAATGAAGTTACGACAGCCTTTTAGAATCTTCGTTTAAAATATGCATGTAGTAAGGCAGCCATATGAAAAGAGCAAATCCACTCCTGGGCTGCAGATATTTCCTTCCCCAAATGTCCAGTAGGTCTGACTTAAAATTAATGTAAAGCTAAGGAGACCTCTTTTATTTATTTATATTTATTTTTATTAGTCTTCCCTGAAAATCCAGAATTACACTTTTTATCTGTTCTGAAAAAATTAGTAATTTAAATAATCAAATATTAGGTACCATCAATAGCCAAAATATTGCTGTAAACACAACTAAAACATATTATAGTTTTTCTGATTTGTTGATGCAAACATTAAAACGGTACTATGTGTTACTAATGAAGTATTTTAAAATCTTTAGAATATAAGGGTTTTTTTAAATTTTGTCTACTGCTACAAAGACAAGAAACTTGAATCGAGAGAAAACTACTCTAAAGGCTAAACCTATTTTTCTTACTTCAGAATTGAAACTACTGAAAGATGGGACAGTGATGATTAGTGTGAAATTGCTTTTTAAAAAATCAGTAGGGAATGGATTCTGTTTTGTGAAAATCCTGAGATGCAGCTATGCAACTTAATTCTTAAAGAAAATACACTTTACAGTAAAAAGAAATAAAAATAAAATTTTAACCCTAAACTAGCTTATGATAAATTACACATCATAGACAGCAAATAACTTCTTTTGAACCATTAGAAACTCCTATCAGAAAGCTGTCATTCCTGTATCATATCCCACAGGTATATTTAATTGCCTAATTGTTTAAAACCCTTTCTGATTTGCAGAAAATTTTACTTGGAAGGGCAGCCTTCTTACTAGTGCCTGGAAGCATATCGTTAATGGGATTGTTTTACTGAATTAGTCGTCACGGATCCATCTGAGTCCTGAAAGCTACTGCATTAACCTATTCACAAGTTATTGCCCAACAAAACAGTTGCAATGTGTAGTATAATAGCAGGTAGGGATTTTTGAGAACCTGCCATGCAAAGCTAGGACAGCAAGACAGATAGTGGTATTCTCAATTTAAGTCACATTGTTTTGAATGGGGTATCATTTGGGCTGTGGAAGAATATTGGTATTCCAGTGCTCAGGATAGCAACTGAGCTATCCATTCCATCTCAGCAAGGAAAAGTAACAATAGGTGTTATATTCATAAGAGTAAGTCAGGAGCCTTTAACCTTGAATAGTACTGCTGTAGAAGATTTGCATAAATAGTCGCAAATTAACATTAAAGAATTCAGGACTACCGTGGAAAGACAAAACAGTCACTGGCCTTTTTACAGTTTCCTCTGCTGAAGGAAAGCAGTTTTTCGTTCCATATAAATACACACATTCATATGAAACTAGTTTGTTCCCTCTGCTGGGATTATTGTCATGAATCTCATAGTATATGGAATTTACATCCAGGGTCTCTTGACCCAAATGATTATTTAGAAAGTTTTCCTTCTTGATTTGGGATTTTTTAGTGTTTCATATGTATGATGAAAAGTCAGACTGAGTCTCTCAACCTCCTTTTATATGGGTGGCATATAACTCCATTTCTAAACTTACTGCTCTACCCAATGGCAAAATGGCCCAAATGTTGAAAGGTGAGCATACAACATTTTAATTTGTCTTTCCATCTCTACTTAGATGAATTAAAACTATTGAAAACTGAGTAAAAATTGCAGCATTTGGTCTGTTGAGCTGGGAAGAAAACTTGCCCACTTTTCAAAAAGGGCAAGAAGGAGAACCCGGGGAACTACCAGCTCATTAGTTTCACCTCTGTCCCTGGTAAGATGTTGGAAAAAAATGTTCTGAACATCATCACAAAACATGTGGAAGAAAATAATGTAACAGGGAGAGGTCAGCATGGATTCACCAATGCCTGACCAATCTGATAGCCTTCTGTGACCTTGCAACTGGCTGGCTAGATAAATGGAGAGCAGCAGATGTCATCTACCTTGACGTCAGCAAGCCTTTTGACACTGTCTCTCATAGCATCATCATTAGGAAGCTGAGGGAGTGTGAACTAGATGAGTGGACAGTGAGGTGGATTGAGAGCTGGCTTTGTGACAGAACTCAGATGATTGTGATCAGTGGAACAGGGTGGAGTTGGAGGCCTGTAGCCAGTGGTTTCCCACAGGGAAAAGTACTTGGTCTGGCC